TAGCATTATTTTGAAAATTATCATCAAAAACCCTAATTTTGGAATGGAAAATAAAAATACAAAAACAATTATAGTATTAAAAAACACTTAACAATCAAATTATTGTATTAAAAAAACTTAACAATCATCTTATTCTTTATATGCAAAATCAGCTTTCATTTACTCCCATTTTAACTCCTCTTTTCCCTGAAGAAAACGATTACAAAAAAATAGTTTTGATACTCTCTGTACTTCAAGTTCATTTTTATATGAATAAGACCAAAATTTGAAACTGTTTTTTCAATTGATGCATAGCTTTATGAACTAGAATGTTGACATACTAAAACTATTATAACTTAATAAAAAAACATGCAATGAGGAAATTTATTCTAATAACTGTACTAAATATTGATAGTAACTTAATTAAACCCTTGGGTTTATTGATTTAAAAAATTGTTAACTCATTTAAACAAACATTTATATTTTTTGTAAGTTAAAATAAGTTTACTTATCATGGAATATATTATATACATGATTTATTGGAAATATTCATGTACATATAAGCANTTAAAATCAAAAAAATATACTATTGCCCTTGCTAACTATTCTGATTAAGAAACTTTCGACTGAGTTAATGATTATCACGCAAGATTTTATGTATGCTTAACATTTGTAGGATACTAATCTTTATTGCATCAAAAAAATAATATTCAGGCGAGTGAGATGGCGGTTATTTAACTTTCAAAAATATATTTTTACATCAAAAGTAGAAGAAAAAAATTTTAAAAAACTGAAGAAGTAGAAAATAAAATTAAGCAAAGCCTTTTTTTATTAAACTTTCCCCATTTTAACGATTACTTGAAAAAAGCGTAAGATGCCTTATGGTTGTTGGTAATTCCAACACTGATCTTATTTCCTATGTTCATTTTAAGATTAAGTTCTTCGGCATGAATTTGCCGGCATTGCTTGCAAAAATATTTTTCGATCACAATAAAACTTTCTGTCAGAAAATATTTCCTATACTCATTATGAGTGCTCCCTAATTAAAGGAAACATACAGCAAAATAGACTATGTTTTTTTAATATAATTTAAAAAACACGTCTTTAACAGGGTGCTTAGCCACATTTTTCATCAAAAATAAGCACCTTTTAAGCACTCAAAAATATTCTTAAGCACTTTAAAGAAATATTATAACTAGGAATGGTTGGGAAGTTTTTGACAATTGTCGAAAACGCATTATTTTCGTGTAAGGATATTTATTTTTGTTGTTGTAGTTCATTTACTTCGCACTAGAGCAGCACAATGGGCTATTGGCGACGGTCTGGGAAACATCCCTGAGGATGATCCAAAGACATGGCATCACAATTTTGATCCTCTGTAGAGGGGATGATAGCCCGACGACCTGCACGCGAAGTCAAGCACTTTACGGTGGAACAGTTTAACGAGGACCAATACCGCACACCCTCAGTCCCTGAGCAGACTAATCCAAGAGGTCACCCACCCGCACACTGACTGCAGCCAGTGATGCTTGACTTCGGTGATCTGCTGGAAACAGTGTCTTAACGATCAGACCACTGCAGGACCGGATAATTATTAGCTATTATAAATATGCAGTATTTTTAAACTCACATACATTTTCAATTAACATAACACATGTAAAATTACAAGCGCTGCATCAATATATATTATATCTTGAATTATTTTAAGATAAGACTAGCTTTGTCTTGAAAATTACTGTCAAAAACCCCAATTTTGGAGAATAAATAAAAATACAAAAACAATTATCGTATTAAAAAACACTTAACAATCTTCTTATTCTTTATATGCAAAATCAGTTTTCATTTACTTCCATTTTAACTCCTCTTTTCCCTGAAGTAAGCGATTACAAAAAAAATAGTTTTGAAGTCCTCTGTACTTCATTTTTGTATGAATAAGACCAAAATTTGAAACTGTTTTTTCAGTTGATGTATATGATTCTGTATGGACTAGAATGTTGAAATACTAAAACTATTATAACATAATAAAATAACATGTAATAAGGAAATTTATTCTAATAACTGTACTCAATATTTAGGGTTTAATAATATTAAACCCTTGGGTTGATTGATTTAAAAAATTATATAAACAAACATTTATATTTTTGTTAGTTAAAATTAACTTACTTATCATGGAATATATTATATTCATGATTTATTGGAAATATTCATGTACCTATAAGCAGGAGAGCAAAAAATTCTTAATTCCTAATAGTTCCTAGCAACAAAGTTTTTTTTTGATCGAAATTTTACTAAAAATTTTAACGTTTTTTTTTCTTAGAACTATAATTTTCTTAAAATATTTTGGAAAATAAAGTTTACATAAGAAAAGAAATTTGCTTGATTTTTCACAATTCTTGAATAAACAAGATAATGTTAAAAATTAATAGAAATTAAAGTATATTGAAATTGTAATAAGTTGTTAAATTATAAGTTCCACTCATAAACTTAAGAAATTCTAACTAAACACTACAGCAATTGATATTTAATGTTTTTAACAAGGAAAAATTTTGCAAAGCGACAAAAAAATTTAAAGGAATTTTTTTTAATTTTTCCTACAGCTGCCTGAATTTTCCTCAAAACCTCCTTTTCATGTTTAGACATATTAGTCATTAGAGTTGTTTTTGATTTTAGAAGACGGAAAGTGAAGCTGAAATTGAGAAGCTTTTGCAAAATACAGCAAAGTTGCACACGAGAGGGCAAAAATCCTTCCCTCTGAATCCAGCTCTATACACACACACATGCGGAACAGTAAGTATTTCATCAAATATGTAAAACGATTTGCATTTTCATACACTACGGACCTACAGTGCACCGAAATAGATTGGGGTTAAATGAATTATGAAAACATTGAACAGAACAATGTCTTTTCGTATAATTCCTGGCGAAAATCGACAAGGTAAAGAAAAAATACCTGATGTTAGAAATAGGTAAAATAAGCACTTTTTAAAAACACCCAATGACAAAAGCACCCTTAAGAGCTTTTAAATAACGAAATCGAAAATAAGCGCCTTTAAGCACTCTTTAAAAATGCCAAGCACCCTGTTTAACCCATCAGCTGACAATGACATGTTAAAATATACGAAATTCATATAAACTGCAATAATAAAATGTGCCTGGAAGGAAAAACACAGAATTCTAGCGCGTGTTTCTTTAAAAATTTTGTCTTGGTATAAAGTTAAATAAAACAATAGTGTATAATGTGCAATTAATTCGATATGGTTTACTATTTAAATACAAAAAAATTTTAAAAAATAGACAGTTAAATCAGCTATCAGGTAGGAGGTGGCCAAATCAAAGGTGACTATGAATTGCTTATTTTTGTCTCAAGAAGTGGGGAATGTAGGAGCAACGCTTATGCAAAACACTTAATTTCCTTTATCTGAAAAAAAGATCTGTTAATAGCATAAATAAATAAATCTGGGGAAAAATTACTTCGTTAAAAATAAAATTTTACGTACGTACAGGGGTGAGATTTGTAATTAGCATATTTGTGCAAAAGCCAAAATTACTAAAAATATGCTTACATAATATTCAGTTTACCTTAAATCATTTTTAAAATAGATATCAAATATTTCACACATAAAGTTATTAAAATTGGCAATTTATATAATTCAACAATCAATATTTCTAAAGTAAACAATACTAGAGTAAAAGTTTTCTTGAATATTTTAAATAAATCTTTTGCAAGATTCAGTTTATTACCCCCAAACGTCAGCCCGTATATACTCGTCTGCTAATGGCAACATAACAGCTCTCACGATCAACACTCAAAGTCCGGTGATCTTAGTACAGCTCTACTGGCTTCTTACGAAAAAGCAATAAATCAACTAGTGGTATCTATTCATGGAATTCTATCACAGATAAAATTCTAGTGGGGGAGCACTGTCGCAAGTTTACTACTACAATAATTCAATTCCAATTCACTAGCACATAATAAATGTTAACTTGATTCTATGTTTGGGGTACCTTTTCAAAGATTAAAGTTGACATTGTCGATAACACTCGTCCCACAAACCAAATAACTTACGTTTTGAATTTTCATTTCGGATCTATACGCAATTAAAATAGAAAAAGTTAAGAAAAATATTCCTTTTATTTCTATCTAATTATTATAACACACTAAATTTTTTTATTGAACTAGAGACTGATAACTAGTTCAATGTACTAGTGACAAGTACATTGAACAAGAATGTGACATGCTAATGTACATATTAATTCATCGCACTGCACTAAAAATCAATAGATGTTCATAAAATGGTCATATTAGTATTTAATATTATTAATTTTTAAAACTGAAATAATAAATTTAAAATTGTATGTTAAAGAAAAAGACTTTTAAAAAGCTTGTTCTTTGATTTTCGTAGTAATAATAAGATAAGATAAAATATTAAACTGATTAATAAATAAATGAGACTTTAAAATGAACTATCAGAGCTTATAAATGTTAATGAATTAAAAAGATTCAAATCTACTAGCCAAACAACAGTTATAAGGCCATTTGAACAAAAATTAAAATATACTCAACAATTAAACATAAAAAATAATTTACTTTCAAAAAATATAATGTAGTAACAAGCATGGGAAATAATAATTTCAGGTGTAGATGTACATTAAAGAATAATAATTATAGCAATTTGCAGTATTTATATAAATATTTAAACATTTCTAAACATTTTGTGCAAAGAACAAAATAAGAAAACCTTTAAAATGTTGTTCATCTTATATAAATATTAGAAGCTAAATAATATCATAGCAATTGGTACAAATTGGTAATATTAGAAGAAACTATTTATTATCCACAAAAACATATCCAGCAAAATAAACACATTTATAATTACATAAGCATGTCTTATTAGTGTCTCCTATGTATACTTTCGTAAACAAAAAAAGAAAAACAAATTCCAAAAATTTAGTTTTTGAAATCTTTGTATCGGGGGGGGGGGGGAGAGAGAGAGAGAAGAAAAAGACAATGAACATACATGTTTATTAGAAACAAAAATGCATTTTATTATCCAATTACAAAACGAAATGAATGATGAAAAATTTATGTCAATGCTTATGGTTTTGAAGCAGGAATAGGATTTCTAAGAACCATTATTACAGAGTCTCCTCTCAAAAACATTTTTGATATATATCTGTCTTTGCTAACAGGCTTTGCTTTCTTTTTACCTTTACCAGTTCTAGGCATTTCCATCCACATCTCTTTCACATTTTCAAGCACCATATTACAATGCCTATTCAAAATAATAACAAAACAAAACTTAATATTTATCTAAAAAAAAACAAATAAATTAGAAGCAACAAAATTAGCAAATAATAATATTTATAAATGTTCATATTTTTTTTTTCAGATAGTTACTTTATTAAAGAGATTAGTGGATGAGTTTACTGATTTTAAGTAGATTCAAAGTTTATGCATACAAAATAAAAATTATACTGTATCTTTATTTATACCCAGCTAACTTTCAATTTTCAAAATCCAAATTCCTAATTTAAACTGCTCATTAGAGCAATTCCACTCTTAGCACTTTAATCTGTCAAGAAAAAAAAGGAATTTCTAAGGATATTTGACAATTGTTTAGTTGCCAAATGAATGTGGAATCTCTTACTCTGAAAACACTCAAAAATTGTCACTCAATATCTTTATCCCTACATATTTTCAAAATTGAATGAAAGACGGCAAAATAAATCAATGCTCAGTAATTAAAATAAGATTTTTCACCTGAACAATCTCTATTTTTTTAACTGTATGTTCGAACATTCTTCCACAAAGGTTTACTTACAAAAAAATATTACTTAATTGAACCACTAATAATGTATATTTTTATTCTGAAAAAATTAGGTGTTTCCATACAAATACATAATAGTTCTAATTATCTCCCTATTTATTCATAATGCAATCCATTTATTGAAGTGAAAAATAATCAGTATATTGTTCACAAAGAAACCAGGAAAAGAATAACACTGTCAACTTTACAGTAAAACTTCAAGTATTTGTATTCAATTTATCTAGTTGGTTGTTTATGTCCATTGCACTAGAGCAGCACAATGGGCTATTAGTGACAGTCTGGAAAACATCCCTGATGAAAGTCCAAAGACATGCCATGAAAATTTTGATGCACGAATCAATACGGTGGGGTGGCTCCCCTACTTTGGTAGCCCGACAATATGCGCACGAAGTCGAGCACTTAGCGGTAGAACAGTCTAAAGAGGGCAGATACCTCACACGCTCTGTTTCTGTAGTAACCTGATCAAACAGGTCACCCACCCGAATACTGACAGCAGTCAGTGATGCCTAATTTCGGCGTTCCATCTGGAACCGCGTCTTACGATCAGTCCAGGAAATCAATTTATCTAGAAAATTCCAATTGATGTTCTAAAAATGAAAAACTAATTATAGTGAAATTAATGTATAGCTTTCCTTTGCAAATAAGAAATTTAAAATCTGTCTTTAAAGAGAAATTTAAGTTTTTTTATTGGAGCAAACAGTGTTTTTAAAAAGATAACTATCACCAAAATCTACCCAATTGCAACAAATGCAGTGAGAGGAATAGAACATTTCAGAATTAAAAGAATTTTAATCTTATCTATATCTTAATTATATTATTAAAGAAAAAATCAATTGGACCAGAGACACAAAATAAATAAAAAAATCCTCTGCATTCGTCTATTAGCCAAGTCATTCAAAGAGTAACAAAATAATTGTTAAAACATATCAGATGACCAAATTTTTCATGACTAAACACAAAAATTATCTTGTTTAGTTTACAAATCTTATATCTCCTTTCTAAACCATTCTATCCTAATATTTAAACATTTCAAGTCTTGCATTTTTACAAAACTTAAACACATTTAATTAGCAATAGTACTTTTTTTCTAAGCTGAAAAACAAGTTACAAAGTTATTATTTTAAAATTGAATCAAAAGTTAGTATTTATTTAAAATTATTAGTTTTCGCTCACATGAATTACAAGTAAGAATGCTAATCAAACAAAAATCACACAATATTTCCTGACTTCTAACGTTTCATTACAGCTTTTTATCATTGTAATTCATAAGTAACATTCAATGCCAAGAGCAATAGCTAAATTAAAGTATGCCAGCTACCTTTGATAACCAGCTTGGCTATAAAGAATTTGCCGTCTTTGGTTCCCCACTGCATGTTTTGGCATTGACATAGTATGAGATTTCAATAATATTAAGGAAATTATATATATAATTTTGATATAGGAAATTATAAACATAATTTCACAATATTATCTTATATTAGGAAAAAACTTAGCAGCTATACTGGAATTTTAGTTTTAACTAATGCTATTGAACAAGCTCCTAAGAATTGAGTTTGGTTTAAACTTCAATTACAAAACAGACAGCACAAAGCAATAACACATAAAAGTTTTAAAAAAAACAATGATTGTTACAAGAATTTCTGATATTTAAAATAATTTTAAACTGTAGTTACTGTGTATGACCGAAATCAAGGGAATGTCGACTTTCACCGGTGAATGCCAACAATCATGTTCCCTTTGGTCAATGTCAGAAATATTTGCTATAAAAGATTTGATTTTGATTTATTCCTTGGCGTTATTATATTTATTCGATATTTTAATATCTGTTGAGGATAGATTAGGATAAACATCAGTGTTCGGAGTACCGGTTAAAGGTATACTGGGCAGTGGCACTTGACCGTAAAAAAACATTGATGTAGGGCACATGGGTAATGACACTTAACTAGAGATGTAGTCCATATTTTGAACATTTGCCAAAGTGACTATATGATTGAAAACATTCTCCAGTGGAAGTCAACAACCACCAATTTCGGTTATTCACAATAACATACTTAAAGGATAACATATTTTAAGTGATGGCCGAACCATACTACAAAGAAAAAGTTTTAAGTTAGATTTAGACAAATTATTAATGTTTATACAAATCTAATGCTTTGTAAATGAAATTTATTTAATATGTAACAAAAATTTAATATCATTGTAATGCTAATTTATAAGATCCAGGGTCATCCCCCTTTTACCCTAACTAATTTGACATCAAAAATATCTTATTTAAAAAACAGAGCAACAATAAATGTATTTTATGGGAAAAAATGGAATTAAAATTTAGTTGTATTCCAAATTTTTTTGTAGAAAATCAGATATTTTTTTCTTTTAAGCATATGGTGTATTTATAATAATAGATCCAGCCCTGATGACTCAACTTTGGCCAACTTAGATAGGAAAATACAGGCAATATTGGTGCCTGGAAAGGTGGGCAAACATGTATAAAGAGAGATAACAATTTAAAAAAGGAGAGGGAAAGAAAAAAAAACTATGGCAAACACATATTATTTACCTAATAAACTATTAAAATATTCTTCACATTAAAAAAAATGTTTTTATCAGTGTTAGATAAAATAATGGAGATTTTAAGCTCTAACTGAATATTTGAATTATTCAGTACATGGTCTAAATAAAAACATGTTTTATCAAAATTAATAACTGCAAAACACACTAATAAAATAAAAAAAACTACCAACTTTTCAAATTGAAAATCAAGAAACCATTTAAGCTTAAAAACTTATGCATAATTAGATAATTTGAAAGAACTATGTTTTGAGAGAATGGTACAGCATTTATATTACCAAAGAAGAAAAAAAAGGATAATTACATATTATAGTTCATATTTTTCTAATTCATGAATAAAATAAAACCTAGTTTCAACGTGAAAAAATTCTGATTAGTTACAGAATATTAACAGTGATAAAATACATTTTAAAAAATATGAATAAAGTACATATACACTGATTAACAAAGCAAGATTCAAAAATGTAGTCCATTAATGCTCACTTAATTATTTTTCAAAAATTAACAAAATTTATATTTATACAAAAACAAAATAGATATTTAGATTAGATGAAAAACATAACAGCATTTTTTCTTTCAAAATTAAACATACCTTAAGCCATTTTCATGAAATAATAGCTAATACATGGGTGCCACTCTAAAAAAATTCAGGACTGAACTTATTTTTTGACCACTTAACACAGTAACGTTTACAAGAATTTTCAGAAATTTATAGCTGACACCAAAATACACCTTTCCATGATAGTAACCCATAATTAAATCACTAATTTTTTTTTTCTGAAAAGAGGTAAACAATATTTTTTCCATTTTATTAATTTATTTTTTACAGAAACAAAACAAAAATAGAGGCTTACCTTGTATATCGTTTTTATATAAAAAAGAAAAATAATCGTATTTTAACTTTGGACGGCATTTCAAAACATTGGGAAGAAGTGCAAACTAAATCAGATTTATATTCAACTATATAATACAAAATTTATTTACACAAGCAAATGTGGAAGTTTATTCAATCTCATTTTTTCATTGCGGTGTAACATAATATCTTGATCCTTTAGCAATAAATATAAAAAATAATGTTTTCATTAAAATGTAGTTTTCACAATTTACAAATTTTATTATTATCAAAAAAATACATGTTCCATTTTAGGGGGGAAAAATCAACCTATATTTACTGAATCAACAGTTTATAATGTATAAAATACCTGTCAAATGCTTTTACTCTGCCAAGTAACTTTTTATTATTTCTGCAATTTATCAAGACTTGAGTGTTATTTTTCACAGATTGAGTCAAAACAGACAGAGGACCAGTATTGAACTCTTCTTCTTCGCGTTTAGCAAGTTCTTCTGGTGTCATTTCTGACTTAGGTTTTTGCAACAATCTAAAACAAGAAAGAAATTAAGCAATTTCTAATATAATAGATAATAATGTAATAATAGTTAATTCAATAATAGTAGATAACATAAATAAATTGACAATAGAGCAAATCATTCAGCAGACTTAAAATTTTTAGAGAAATCAACACTACCATACTTATAAAACTAGTACATACATAAATTACTTTTCTATTCTACCATTCAAGATGAAAATAAACATGCATACCCGCCAACATTGGAGAAATTAAATAACTGAGGTTTTACTAGCAACATTTTTTAAGCTACGAGTAAAGTTTTAATACATCAGTAATAATAATTTAAGTCAAAATGAAAAAATCAAAATTGGAAATAAAAGCACTTACATTTAGAGAAATAAAAAATATGTATACAAATCTTAAAGACTTTATTAAACCACTATTTATAATTATTTAAACTATTTTATTTTATAACTGTCATTCAACAGCCTACCCAATTTTGGGTTTACAGCTACCAATTTTGAACCGCAATCCAGAACACAAGGGAACTCAAGGATCAGGTATCAGGAGAAATTTGCCTTTGCGAACGACTTTTTGATGGAACTAACAAGCATCTGAGTTACACGGAGTGGAAAGCCACAAAAACCTACCACAGTTAGCCTGACAGCAAAGGGACTATCCTGTGATACATCTAGAACCAGCTGGAATTCATATCGACCAGTCATCGCTAGGATTTAAACATGGTTCACCGGATTGGAAGGCGAACACTATCCCTGGAGCTAGCCTTAAATTATTAACCATCAACATACTGCAGTAATGATAATAGCACCATCTGTTGAGGAATAAAAGTATTCTTGCCATCAGTGGATATTTTATCACCAAAATGTTATTTTTATGTTTCTTCAACAAATACGGAAACATTTGAGAATATACAGGTTAACAGGAGATAGTTGTGAAATACAAGAGTCTTCGTTAAAAAACAGGAGACTTGGCTGGTATGAATATGTAAGTTTTTGAGAGAAAAATAAAAAAATTATATTAAGTGAACTTCTTTAACAAATTCACAAAGTTGTTCACACTAACTTATTCCTCACCTAAAGAAAAATTTTTTAATGTAAATAAGTATAATCATATGTAACAAGGAAGTAAAATGCAAAAGTATTAAATAATAAACACAATAAATATCTAAAAGAATCGTAAGTTTAATATTTTAATTACTGCAAGTAAGGTTTGCTTTTGTCTGGAAGAAAATTATTTCTTCCTGGTCCATGGAAGGAAATGTACGAAATGGAAGAAATTAAAAATGGCCAATACGATTGCTTTACAATCAACATAAGAATCAAGGTTCGCAAAGGCGGGCCCAGTCTAGAAAAACCCAGTGGGCTTTTTCAGATCTGGCCGACTTCAAAAAAATTTGTATTTATAGTTTCTATCTTTCACATCTTATTATTTCCAAATGGTTTTGCTGCAATTACCAAACGAAATTGTTCTTAAAAATTATCAGCTTATTGTTTTTTAAATTTAGCAACTTTTAATACAAAATTGTATGAAATAAAACATATTTCAGAAATCTGATTTTTTCAAACAAAATTATGATGAACAAATGAGCTAATCACATGAAAAAAAGTACAATTTCAAAAAAAACATATTGCTAATTACTTATCTATAAAACAAATTATCTCATCATAAATGTAACACTGCTCCTTAGTAAAATTAATGAAATGCTATCTTGTTTATCACCGACAGTTTACGGCAGATTATTTGTTGATCTTAATATCACTCGTAGAGCTTCTCATATGCGCACTATAGAGTGCCAACTCCAACATGCAATAAATAAGGTTTTAAAAACAAGCAGATTTAAATGGTTTACTTTTTCTCTGACTAAAGAGAGAAGATTTTATATTGATACCCGAGCAACAACAAAAAAATATCCAAATCTCGGTGACAAACAGCAGTGGTATGCAAGAAATAATTTATTAAAGAACATGATATTGATTCATACCACTGGGATGAATTTAGTAAAAATCAACAACAAAATATATATAGAGAAATATAAAATCCCCATGTGCACAAAAATTAATTAAATAGTAGAAAAAATATGAAAATGCCTTAAATTGGAACAAGAAAAAAGTGTATGCAGAAAGCATTTATCCACAGAAGTTATCATCTACATTTCAAAAAAAAAAATCAATGCAAGATTTCATTTAATTAAATTATGTGAATATGAATCTCAATGTGTAATTTTGAAATCACGCAAATATGGTTCTTAACATTTAATTTTAAAAGCACATGAATATGAATCTCGATGTTTGATTTCAAAATCCAAATAATACGAATCTCGATGCTTGATTTTAAAATCATATTATAGCTAATCTTTATATTTGATTTTGAAATCTCGCGAGTACGAATCTTGATACTGGATTTTAAAACCGCGTCAATATGAATTCTGAAACGAATGTTTGTTTTTTCTCTCGGGAATTTGAAAAAGCAAACTTTATTACTTTTTTATTAGTAAAAAAATTTACACCATGACCATGGTAAAGCATTTTCTGCAAACTGTTTTTGTGAATATTAGATGGGTCTGCCCATGAGGTTTAAAAAAGATACATAGCCTGTGCTGCTATGAAATCAGTGTAAGAGCACCTTAATACATCTTAAAGTGTGTAAGCCTAAATGTGTTTTATTATGACAATTGATGAAAAGATTTGAAAATACAGGATTACTAAAATTTAGTAATTTAACAGCTTTTAACAATTATTTAGAAAGGCACACTATGTCAGATCTATAAGCTAGGCTTAAAATAAGCTATCAGTGTTAAATACCTACACAAAAGAAAAGTAAAGGTAAAACGCAATCTTATAATACAGAAGAAATATAACGAGAAGAATATTACAGGTTTTAAATTTTAAAAAATCAACACTAACAAGCATTCCAATTTAACAAAATTTTTATAACAAAGAACTCAAGTGCCCTATAACATAAATTTAAAAATATGAAAATAATGTTAATCTCATTGCAAGAATTAAGAAATTTAATCGCATACAATGTTGATAAATCTAATTCAGAAAAAGAAAAGTGACATGTTTAGTTAAAACACTACAACATTATGATCAGTAAAATGCAAAACATTATGAATAAAATTACTCTGTCACTGATTAATTATTCTTATTTCTGTTATAATATCACTGATATTTAAATTGCAATTTTTAACAATTTCATAAAACAATCTGCGCAACAACCAGTTATTTAAGACAAAGACAATATAAAGTTTCAAAAAAGTAAGGATAATGTAGTCTTTGCACTACGCAGATAGAAGCATGTTATTTCAAGAAATTTTAACATTTTTCTCTATACTTTTGTTAGCTATAATAACTTACGATGTGGTCATTTTGTAGTTGTTTTAAGCCTTTAGAAAATTATAAAAATCGTCAGTTGATAAATTCTTCTCTTAAAAACACAAGCTTTTCTGCAAACCAACGGTTACCGGTTAAATTTTTTTTTATTATTGTTCAACTTTAAAGCTTATTTTTGCGTTACTAAGAAACTGTGAAAATCTGAATTACGAAATTTAGAAACCCCGTTGCCGAGTAGAAGACCATTCTCACTGTATGGGAAAAATTCACAAATAAGAATTCGGAGATGCGATTCAGAGCCTTAATATGTTATGACACTGCATGCGGTTCGCATATGCAATTGCATATAAGTGCAACTCACGCATGCGCAAGCAATTCGTCTGACAGATAATTTCTAAACATTCGTCTTGGGAAATCGGATGCAGTATTTAGGGGTGCTCCTCCCCCTCAAGGCATCTCCCTTAATTTGAAATCCCCCACCACCATTTCTGCAAGCAATAAAAATGCATATAAATTTCTTATCTAAACAAAAATTTTTAAGTTATATCTGATCTATCTTAATTAGGTCCCGCTGTGAACGCAAAGAAACGGTTCTTAACAGAACACTAAAATCAGGCAAAAATTCGCTGAGAATTTCGCTGTGATTCTTAAATTCGAAATTTGAGGTTGCTAATTTACAACAATAACCTCCAGGTATTATCTGTCCGAACCGAAGAAATGCTCTGGAGATCTAATGGAAGATTAGAGGCAGGAAGTCACCAAGGTGCAAAATGTGAATCCTACGGCTATTCATAGACTTTAGCAACAACTTCCCATACAGCACGCTGACTTCGTTATGACATCCTAAAGTTGTCATCTTTAGGATTCTGTTACTTCCAGAGGAAGTCCTATATTTACCGCTAAATGTCCTACGGATGTCATCTGCGTGTTAGAATGTCCCACCTGCAGATATCTTAATGATGTCATAACTAGGACAGTTTCAGGATACCTTTAGAACGCTTTAGGATGGCATTAGGACATAATAAGACCTGTTTAGTAAGGATTTAGGTAACTTGTGGGATGCATGTTGGAAATGGTATGATAGTAATAGGAGGGTGTCTTATTTTGGAAATAAATTTCATCTTTGAAATTTTTATTAATTTTAGCAACTTAAATAAGGTTTTTCTTTTAAATTTACTGAATTAGAGGTCAGAAAAATGTTTTCTAAATGAAAAAAAAGGTGATAGTTTTTAATTTGTATACCACTCTATTTTTCCAGAAAAATGGGCTATTCCTCTACTATTTTTTTTAGGAAAATTAGTAAAGGAAAAGGGAGTAAAACAGTTAATAAACAAACGTATCTAAAGAAAAGAATAATGTATCATTTTAATACAAAAATATGCAAGATAATTGGATTTCACATTTCTATTGCTTGGAATAAAAACTTGGCCATTATTAAAAAGTCTAATTGAATGTACCCTTTGAACACCAAGGAAGGTTACCATTCTCCTAATTAGCGTTAGTTTTCTGTAAAGAATATTTCTTATTAAATTAAATTATGAGACTTATTGAATCTTTTATGTACATTGTAATTTATGATTGCTTCATTATTGCTCATATTGTTTAATGTAGTAGATATATTAAATATCTTATAATAAAATAATGAATAATTTTTATTTTAATGTTGCTCTAATACTGAGAACTTCGCATTAATATTTAAATTTCTCGTATGATCAGTTGAAACTAGTTAATTGGCAAAATAATTCTCATTACATTCTTCTGCAAAATTTACTAAAAAACATTTTATATTATAAATAGTTTAAATGAAGTTGTGACTATTTTATCAAAAACTCAAAATAGATGTTTATGGATCACATACTTTATTGTTTAGTTATTGTGTCAATGATGCAATTTAAAAAAACAAATAAAATTAGAAAATTATCTGTTTTTATATACAAACTAAAACAGCTGTTGCCATGTTTTGCTGAAGAATTGTTAGCTGAAGGCATACTTAAATCAGTATCTTGAAAATATTAAAAATAACTTGTTTTAAGGATTTATCTATTTTTTGCAGCATAAATTTAGTGTATGCAAATAAATATGAGAATAGAAAAAAATAAACAATATTAGAATCACATAAGTGAAACTTTTATTTACACTATTATTTCCTTAATTTTTTTACAGAATAAACTCTTCTTTCTTTAGCATGGCGCAACCAGCCTCTAATAATGCTTCCAACTTCATTTACTTTAGTGTATGTGAAAACACTGCAAACAGCTTCTAAAACATAACAAAAAGAAAATATAAACAAACCAGTAGGTATTTTCATGAATAAACATAAAATTATTTCAGAACCTATTTAAAAGGTATCTCAAACTAAATTAGTAGAAGCCCAGATTTCTGTTACTCTCAGGGAAAATATTATGGGGTAACCTTGTTAAGCTGCTTTTTCAATTGCCCATCATACGTAACTTAATACTAGTTCACAAAAAATAAAATGATTTGATACATGTTTGATTCATTGTTATAAGAATAATCTAGTAACAACAACTGTAATAATGATAAAGCTATTAGTACACACAAGTGCAAGTCAAAAAAAGTGTTGGATAACTGAAGTATCGTATGATTACCATTCTACTATGACTGGAAAAGAAGATGGTGATACTAATAACAATATTATTTCAAACAACACACTCATAAATTATTCCAATGTTTGAAATTTATAAACTCATTGAAAATTCATGGAATACTAAATTTATAGTATATTAAAAAGTTTAGCAACACAAATTTTAACTATATACTGTCAAACTACAAATGGAATAATATATATATATATAAACAGGGATTAAATATTACCAATAATTGCACCTGACACTCTGTAACCAAAAAATCTTTTTTTTCATTATTGCCCATCCAGCTTTAGAGTTCAACAACATCATCAGGCATGATGTGACGAATAGCTTGTCTTGTACGTTCTTTAAAATCAGTTCCATCAAGACTTTGCAATCTAGCAGACTATGAGAAAGAAAAAAAATTATACAAATAAAAATATTTTAAAAAAGCAAATTGACATGTAAATGATATAATTAATAAAAATTTATTTTAAAGAAAACAAAATTTCATTCTGAAAATAGTTTATCGTAAATCTGTCCTTGTAAAAGAACGAGCTCTTGGAGAATCAAGAAAAAGACAATACTAAAATTTAGCATAAATTTTTTTTTTGTAAAAATACAAATATGTAAATACTAATTAAATTTTTCAACCACAATTATCAGTTAAAAATGTTAACAAAAATTTAATAATTGAGAAAATGTGCAGATCAACTACAAGTAAGTTTTATATGCCTTTTAAAGCACTAAATATTTTATCTTAAGAGATCATTGAATATTTTTTAACCCCGTCGAAAAATACATATTATGAAACACAAGATACCTACCTAAAATATATCTATAAAAGTAAACTAAGAATTAAAATGTAAACACATATATTTAAACCAGCTTCACAATGCAAGAGGTGAATAATGACAAATATATTTACAAGAACTTTTTAAAAGAAAATAAACTCCTTACAGATTCAATAACTTTTTTCAATACTTTTATTAACTTTTCAATATTTTTTTAAAAAAAAGTATTTCTTGAAATACTAAGTAGTGAGCATGAAACTACGCATTAAGCAGGAGAAATTCTAATAACTGCTTTTGAAACAATGACATTAAAATGAGAAAATGTTGACACTATTCTGTATAAAATTAGTCAAACATATAGACATTTTGATCGCGTCCATATGATTCTTTTTTTAAATAATAAATTTAACTAATATCAATATAAATATAATTTAAGAACTATTTTTAAAAAGATATGAATTACTGAGATAGTGAAAATAATGTAATTATCTTCAGCAGTTAAAATTGATAGTTTGATTAAATTTAATATAATAGTTAGATAACTTTGCAACTTTTTATTAATTTTAAGACAGATTGATTATGAACAATCATATAAGGAGAAAAACTGAATTCATTGCAGCAAATGCAGCAATTTACTCAAACTAGGATGGAAAAAAAGCCTGCAGCCCTTTTGCCTGGTTATTTACTTGGCTAAGTATCTCTAATTTTAAAAATCCCTATAGACGGTGCTTTTAACACAAGGGAACGCTGCAAGCTCTATACGCCTATACTTCCAGGTTACTGTTTCCAGTGTATTTTAAAGTCATTTGGCTCACAACGCGATCATCGTGTTTTGAGAGCTTGCAAGAGAAGATTGTGATTCTTGCGAACGTGGTATTTGATTACCTATTACTTGAGTTTACAATGCTAAAGGTGCTAACACTAACGCAACATGATGCACAGCTTGCAATAAGAACAAACAATAATAAACAAACGGAAAGAGGCCAAATCAGGACTGCCAAAAAAGGGAGTTATTCAAAATCTAGCAACCATGTCACCTTTTTAACAATACATCTCTAAAGAAATAAAACAAATTTTCACTTCTTACTCACCAGAATTACTTATTATCAACATTATTAAACAGTTATTATCTTATGAAATACCACAGATTTGAGCTTAAAAATTATATAATTTATTTCTTTTGTTAAAAACAAAATTACACGTTTGAAAATATAGCCAAGCAGAATAAGCAGAAGCAAGTATTGAGTTGGAGATTGTTATTATGAATGGTGTTCTTAATATGAATGTAAATTCATATTGAGAACACCATTCATAGACAATTTATAGAAAAAATTATGTAGAAATGGTAAAATAACAATATACTAAATAATGAAGATGAATAGCAACATTGAGATAATTTAAATGTCATTTCATCTGTAATTAGAAGAAATGATTAAATTAGGGTTACCAAAAAAAACATGCCAAATAACAAGTTGAACTTAAAGGAAGAAAACAAAAATAATAGAAAGAATGAGTTATCAGAACAGATAAAAATTTGCCTCACGAAATAATAAAAGTAAAACTTCCTCAATAATTATGAAAAAATTAAATAAACCACGCATTTAAACATTTAGTAATGTATGTAAACATTGCAAACATGCATGTAAACATTGCAATTGAGATATTAAAGATAATGACGGGGTTCAAGTACACTTATAAATCAAATATATAAATAGATTATAAAAAAAAGAAAGATAAACAAAAAAGAAACTAATAAGATATTTGAGCTTATAAATACCTTATTGTTTAGATTTCACTA